GTCAACATATTCTGTTACACCAAATACACAAAATAATGATCTTTAAAATAGCATCATATGACCCCTTTAAGAACCATTAATAATAATTGAGCTCCAAAACCAATAACAATAATAATTAATTCAGAAAAAAATTCAGGAATAAGTTATATTTAATATATACAATTATATATCACAATATAAAATAATATATTTTATAATATTTTTTAATAATAAAAATAATAAAATTATATAAATAAAATATCATTTTATAATATATTATTGTATATTATATAATAAATATATTATAAAAGAATAAGTGTATAAAATTTTATATATTTGAATATACATATTATATAATAAAATAGAAAACATTTTAATTAGCAATAATATTTCACATTATTACAGCTTTTACTGATCAAATAAAGCAGCCTTGGTTAACATAAGAGACATATTTTAAAATCTTATTTAAAGAAAAATTAATTACTCTAAACTTTTGACCGGCAGTGAAAAAAGTCATTTTATTTAAATTATGTTTATTATGAAGTAAATAGATACCTTATAGACCTATAGATTTACCTCATTATGTAAATTAATAACATTATATTAATTAATAATATTAAATGTTTATGATTTAATTTATATGAAGTGCATCAGAATAAAGGATGTTATAAGGCCCAGATAGAATCTTTTCCCCTCCACATTTGGGCAATCTAAATGTGTAAAATGGATGTTAAAAATATGTTTCCTTCCGGAACCCCTGCAGTCTCGCCTCCAAACATCTTCTGATGCCCACCTGAGCTTTTCTTTCACACGCTAATTGTATTCTGCAGGAGAATCTGTGCTGACAGCGCTGAACGTCTGTCTGCGGTTCTGTCCACTCAGCAGCTTTCCTGATCCCATACAGCTCACACGTTTTATCTCATCTTATCTTGTCAGAAACAGGATTATTGATTTTCTCCTTTTCAAAGTCACATCGGAAGTCGATTTAGATTCTGCTTGAGCGTTTGCTCAGAGCGGTTGAGTGGCGTGTGCACAGACTGGAACTGCTGAGAATTTGGTGTTTGTTGTAACATATAGTACAGCGATGCACCATTTATGACAAATCAAAGCATAAAAAAGAAGCGAGGGATGATGCATGGAAAGAAACATGAAGCATTTGACATTCCTACAGGAGGTACTGGAGTTTAATGCTTAGCTAAATATCTTTCCACTCGAGGTAAAGCAACACTGAGCAAATTATGCTTCAAAAATGCAAGAATTATCTAATTATGTATTGAAGTATTTGTACTTTTTGAACTATCCCATTGGAAATATTTCAATAATATCGCTAATGTTTCACCTAGACAGCAATAGGACTGAATGGAGAGCAAAAAAAGACCCTAATAGTCAAAAGAGAGTTTCAGAAGAAATCGCAACAGTGTCTCAAATTGTGCTCAGATTTGCAAAGATATCAAATCTCCAATCAAATCTCTGTATGAACTCAAACATTTCTCATCAAGAGGAAATGATATATTCTAGCATTTTACAGTAGGTGCAACATCTTAATAATTAATACTAGTGCTGTCAGACGATTAATCGCGATTAATCGCATCCAAAATAAAAGTTTTTGTTCACAATATATATGTGTGTGTACTCTGTATATTTATTATGTATATATAAATACAAACACATGCATGTATATATTTAAGAAAAATATGTAATGTTTATATATTAAATATATTTAAATGTAATAGAAATTATATGAATAGAAATACATGCATGTAAATACATGTAAATATTTTCAAAATATATACTGTATATGTGTGTGCATTTATATATACATAATAAAGGATGCATTAAACTGATCAAAACTAACAGTGAAGACATTTATAATGTTACAAAATATTTCTTTTTTGAATGAAAGCAGTTTTTGAATTTCCTATTTATCAAAGAATCATGAAAAAGTTTTCAAAAAAAAAAAAGAATTAAGCAGAAAAAACCTTTTCAACAGTGATAATAATCAGAAATGTTTTGTGAGCAGTAAATCAGCATATTAGAAAATAAATATTAATATTAATATTAAATTATTCAGAAATATTAATTTCTGAAGGATCATGTGAAACTGAAGACTGGAGTAATGATGCTGAAAATTCAGCTTTGCCTCACAGGAATAAATTACATTTCACAATATATTAAAATATGAAAAAGTAGTTTTAAATTTTAATAATATTTTAATATTTCCCAATATTACTGAACTATTTTTCTTATTAATCTTTTCTTATTTATTTTATTTTTTTGGAACAAATAAATGCAGCCTTGGTGAGCATAAGAGACTTCTTTCTTACAGAGTCCAAACTTTTGAGCACTACTGTATAATAATATAAAACAGTTTTTCGGACTAAAGAAGACTTAAAGCTACAGTTTTAAATTCTTCTGAAGGAAAAGAAAAAGTTGATTCCTCTTGACATGACCCCTTTTAGTCTCCTCTGAGCAATAAATAAATAAATAAGTTTTAGCATCATCATCAGAATTGAGTGCTACTCTTCCTCAAGTGGATCGAATCTGTGAGTTCTGACCTACAAATCATCACACCAGCGATGGAAATCAGTCCTAAAGCATTCAGACAGGCAGAGCAAACGAGCAAAGACATTCCAACATAAACACAGATGAACAGACACGCAAACAACGGACAGCACAGTCCAGGAGAGATCCAGAATGAGAAGACAGACCTGGTCTGCGAACATCCTGGGTTTGTGCTCAGGCACCACCCCTCCCCTCAGCTCGTCTTCCACGGCCATGAGTCTTCACGGAAAACAAGGAAGCGAAGGAGAGAGAAAGACATTATTAGTTCCAAAGCACACAGACTTTATTGAGATCAGACAGAAGTGTTCATCAGCCAGAAATATCATTGATAAAAGCTTTGTAGTTTGGCTGATTTGGTCCGATCTGGAAAGCCTACTGTGAGAAATTCCATCAAAAAGATGTCACATTATGTCATATAATGACATATTTCCATCATCCCATGGGAATAAGGGAGCTGATAAATGAAAATGGGCCACGTTGTACGACTTCTAACGACGGCTGCCACTCTTGCTTGCAGCTTATTTCAGCAATTACACACCATTGAAGTGGCCGCCAGAACGCATCAAAGTGACGTTTGGTTCATACACAAACAGGGATGTTTTCATATCCCTACATGAACATTTCACAACACTCTGGAAATCGCATCAGATACTGTTTTTAGGCAGAACAAACCACAGGCCCAAAACCTGTGTGATTATCAACTGAACAACGGCTTTGTAAGGAATGATGTGTCTTGTGATGTTTGGTTTGATATATGTTGACAAGACAATATGAGCACATGACAGGACAACTGACATTAAATGCATGCATTTGGTTTGAATCTGAAAGGTTTCATTGTTTTGATGTGTACTGATGTGAAATGGTACATTTATTTATTGCAGGATGACTTATTCTAGTCTTTAGCATATAAGTAAATAATGAATTGCACAGTTTAGGTTTAAAACAATGTGATTGGATATTTTATTCCATTGATAAATGTACATATATGCTTGTACAAAATCGAATGCAAAAGTAATAAACAGCAAAAACAAACAAAATTAAAAGACAAAGTAAGTGCTTCAGGCCTTCTAAAAAATACAGAATCATTCATTTTATTTCAAGTCCGCTCATGTCTTTCACAACAATGTGATTTATTTATTTTTTTTTTTATTAACAAAGGTCACATTTCACAAGCAGGGGTCAGAAGGGTCATGAGAAGGAATCATTAGTAAAACTTCATTGTGCTATTTAACATTGCTACAGTATCAAGGCATATTTATTGCACACTGTTTGGATACAATAATTAAATATATATATATAACTTGTATACAGAATATATATTATCTATACTCTATTTCTGAATAAATAGCTTTTAAAAGAATTTATAGGGAAGCAATGTCTTTGTTATTGGTTTCTAACTGTATAGAGTCTTTAATACACTCATTTTTATACATCGATATATGAAAGGCTAACAATGAAAAACAAAAATTCAGTGCAAACATTCCATATTCTTCCATAGTTATTGTTTATGTCAAGAACACATTGCAAAAAAGATTTTCTAAGAATTAATTTCAGGCCAAAATTAATTCAGTGTTTATGTTTCTTGATCTATAATTCATATCTCTATGTTTATTTCACAAACAGCACCACACAAAATAAGATATTTATAAATGCCTGTATCACAACTCACTTACCTCATGTTTAATATTTGATACTGCATCATCTTGGTATTGCACATGAAACATAACACTGAAACATACTGAACACAACTATGGTTTGTTGTGTTAATATTTATCTGTAAAGGTTGAAAACAAATCCAGGTCATATTTCACCTCAAAATCAAAAGAAAAAAATATATGTATTTTGCATAAAGCAAATGAAGCCCCTTTTGTATTTTATGCTGTGACAACGCTTGTACATTTACTTAGTAGAAAAGCATAAATAACATGATATACAAATACTTTCATTTACATTATATATATTTAAAAAATTTATGTTTAAATTAATGATTAATGTGCTGCCTTCTTCTTTTTATTTTGGAGTGAAACATGACCTTGACCAGGTTTTGTAAGATTAAGCCATGAATTTAAACATTAGGAGTCATATATGAGGCTTGTGTTTGAATATGAGCAAACACAAGCCTGTTTCTGAAGTTTTATTGATGCATATTTGAAAATGCATGCTCTTGACGCTGAAACTGATATTCCCGCAAGGCCTGAACAACTGAAAGCCAAATGTGATGAGGAGCGGCTGACACATGAGAGCGCTGTTCTTGTGATAGCACATAGAGATATGGAGAACATGAACATCTGACATATGATCTATTCTGATGTGTAAGACACTTTCATCACGCAGTATGTTCCAGAACACAGTGACGAGAGAAGTGCAGCAGAGAAGCTTGAACAGGCAGTTCAGGAAGAGAGGATTCTGGGTATTTTCAAGATGTTCTGCTACAATCATCAATGGTTATTTGGAAGAGAAATCAGCCAGCACCTTTTCTATTTTCAAGATAAACAGGTAAAAGCCGAATAAAGGCTTTTTAAATAATAAAACATTATTATTGCAGATATGCTGAAATAATTCACACTCCCTCATCTCATTCTTAAACCTGTATTACTTGTATTACTCTCTCTATACAGTGTATACTTCAAATAGGACAAAACAGCTTTTTTGTCCATCCATCCAACCAACCAACAAATAAATAAACTAAATAAATAAATAAATAAATATTTATTTATTTATTTAATTTAATTTAATTTTATTTAATTTTTATTTTTTTTACTTTATTTTTTTTTTGTATTCCACTGAAAATTTAATAGCATACAGGTTTGGAACGACATGACAGTAAATAATCACAGATTTTTATTAATGAATGACCAAGTTTGTGCAGATGGCAATTTTTCTTAAACATTAGCAATTCATGAAGCAACTTTTCTTTTCAGCTCAAGCACAATTTGTCCATGTCAAACTTGTTTCCTCAGACGGCAGAGCTTAAAATGACAAATATATACTGCAAACACATCCCGTTCATCCTGAGATCATTTCCAGTAAGGTATTGCACTAACACACGTCAAGGAGGGAAGAGACTTGATGATTTATATTTTTATGCCCTTTTGGGAGTAAGAACCAGGTCTCCCTTCATCATCTGAGTGTCTTGACTCCATGTCTTCATTCCTAGAATTGGATTGAAATAGCAATATACTCTGTGACATAGAATATGGAGTAAGTGCTGCATTACAGGAAGTTACATCATCATTTCATCAACCAATGGGTGGGGTGATGTCATTTATACCAGTGAACAAAACATTGGAAGATGGATCTCTGTAGATTCATACAGCTGAAAAGAATCCAAATAACACCATAATAAAAATTATGAAATGAAACAACAACAGGGAGGAAATGAACCCGGTTCATCAATTAAAAGTAGCTTTGTGAGGAGACACAACATGGCAATTACAAGACTGAGACGTCCATGTTAAACTAACATGAGAGAGGCACAATTCAACATAAATGGCAGTCGCTTTAGAGAACCCCTTATAAAATGTATAAAACATATACACAGTGACCCTAAAAAGTATTTGGACATCTGCATCATTCTAAAAAAATGAGATATCAAATAATATACTGTATCTGCAAATTAAAATTGAAATGAATGAATTAAAAGGAAATTAAACTATTTTAAAATAATTGTAAAAATAAAATGTAATAGAAAGTTAATAAAATTTAATAAAAAATAAATAAAATGAATACTTTTATTCAGCAAGGATGCATTAAATTGATCAAAAGTGACAATAAGGGCATTTATAATGTAACAAAAGATTTAAAATAAATGCTGTTCTTTCAGACATACTATTTATAAAAACAAATCATGGTTTTAACAAAAATATGAGGCAGCACAACTGTTTTCCGCATTGATAATAATAAGAAATGTTTCTTGAGCAGCAAATCAGCATATTAGAATGATTTCTGAAGGATCACGTGACACTGAAGACTGGAGTAATGATGCTGAAAATTCAGCTTTGATCACAGGAATAAATTACATTTTAAAATATATTCAAATAGAAAACAGCTATTTTACATTTTAATAATATTTCACAATATTACAGTTTTTACTGTATTTTTGGTTAAATAAATACAGCCTTACTGAGCATAACTGTCTCCTTTCAAAAACATTTGAACAGTAGTGTATATAATGTATTATCACTTTTTGTGAAAGTGTGCTATATTTCTTTAAATGAATGCCACTAGATTTAACATTTTGATAGTATCATATTTTGTTGTCTCAATGCAATGTCATTCAGATCTTTTTTAAGTTTGGTTTAATTATACAAATACTGTTTTGGGCCACTATTTCTAAACAGCATTACATAAGGGGTCCTTGTCAAAGGAACGGAAGTACAGTAAGTACACAGCGAGTGTGATCATGTAACCACCGCTCAATGTTTCTCCAGCCTTTTTTTTTTTTTCAAATTACCTGTCAATAATTCCTTTAATTTGGTTGTCTTTCTCCATCTGCTGCTGTCTCAGTCTCCTCTCGCTGTTCTCCAGTCGGCTCTGATACTGCAGCAGGATTTTATTGGTCTGCTGCTCCTGAGTTAACATCCTCCTCTCGTACTCCTCCAGCTTGCGGTGTGACATCATCAGACGCTCCTTCAGAGAGTTGATCTCCTCCTCGTATTCACGCACCTGCGTCCAGAGAAGAGAGGAGGACAGCAGGCGTGTTAGCAGAGCAGATGTTACGCTCATCTTGACGGCTTCCTTGAGACTGTAAGGTAATAGGTTGGTGAGTGAGTAACTAAAAGTGTCAAAAAGTATTAAAAGGTAAAAGTATTAAATAAAAGTAAAAAAAACAAACATTTAAATTAAATAAAAATTCATTTAGAAAAACAAATAGAAATAAAATTAAAGTAAAAAACTAAAATGTTAATTGAATATTTTTTGAAAATTATAATTAACAAGGTACAGGTGCATCTCAATAAATTAGAATGTCATGGAAAAGTTCATTTATTTCAGTAATTGTGAAACTCGTGTATTAAATAAATTCAATGCACACAGACTGAAGTAGTTTAAGTCTTTGGTTCTTTTAATTGTGATGATTTTGGCTCATTTAACAAAAATCCACCAATTCACTATCTCAACAAATTAGAATATGGTGACATGCCAATCAGCTAATCAACTCAAAACACCTGCAAAGGTTTCCTGAGCCTTCAAAATGGTCTCTCAGTTTGGTTCACTAGGCTACACAATCATGGGGAAGACTGCTGATCTGACAGTTGTCCAGAAGACAATCATTGACACCCTTCAGTCTGTGTGCATTGAATTTATTTAATACACGAGTTTCACAATTTGAGTTGAATTACTGAAATAAATGAACTTTTTTTAAATTTATTTATTGAGATGCACCTGTATTATCCCTTCCATTAAATGGCTTTAATAAATGTTCAAAATGCTATTAAAATCTGGGGGAACAAAACAAAGTTAGGTATAAAAAAAAGCTTCTTCCATTTATTAAAAGTATTAAAAAATGAAAGTAAAATAAAAGTTTTAATTAAAATAAAAAGTAATTAAAATTACATAAATTATAAAAAAAATAATAAAACAATAAAAGTAAAAATCAAAAATAGTTTAAAAAAATTGAATAATTTTGTCTATTAAATGGCTTTAACAAACTTTTAAAATATAATTAAAATCTATTAAAAGTAGTGCTGTCAAACAAAATAATCCAAAATAAAAGTTTTTGTTTACATAATATATGTATGTGTACTGTGTATATTTATTATGTATATATATATATAAAGACACACACATACAGTATATATTTTGAAAATATTTACATGTATTTACATGTATATATTTATATTCATATAAATTATATCATATATAAATATATTTAATATATAAACGTAACATATTTTTCTTAAATATATACATGCAAGTGTGTGTATTTATATATACGTAATAAATATACACAGTACACACACATATATTACGTAAACAAAACTTTTATTTTGGATGCGATTAATCGCGATTAATCGTTTGACAGCACTAGTTAGAAAAGTCTTAAAAAGTATTAAAAACATTAAAAAGTACTTAACAAAAGTGAAATACAATTAAAATGACATAAAAAAAAATAAAAATAAGTATTTCATTAAATCAAAATTAATTACAAATAAAATACGTTTAAAAAAATGAAAAAAGTATGATAAAATAAAAGTATTAAAATAAACAGAATAAGTTGTGAAAATGACAAATAATAAGATATGATCTATTAAATGGATTGAATAAACTGCAATGCAAAAAAGTAATAAAACAGTAATAAAAATTCATTCACCACCTAAAAGTAGTGGGCATTTGCTTAATCTTATTCCAAAATCCTGTCTTTCTCATGTGGAATATAAAAGGGACATTTCTGAAGCATATCCTGGGCACAATATTTTTCAAAATGTCATATTTTGTGAGAAATAAAGACTAAGAAAGTAAGCCATACGGGTTTAGAATGGCATGAGGGTGAGTAAATAATGACTGTTTGCGCATTTTTGTAGCTCAGTCGTTTTCAGAACAGTGTGGTTTTTCCAGTAATGAGCAGCTTTCAGATTTTGGCCAACATCTGGTTTACAAGCAAGCATGATTTTGCTCCCCGCAGCTTTTCCACAAGGAACGTGTCATTCATGCATAAAGAAGCTGCCTAGGTGGACAACCACAGTCAATGCAAATGAGCAAATTCACCTTCCAAACCACACGGGAATGAGAAAATGTATTTAAAAAAACGCTGATTCATAGCTGAAGATGAAGCTGTCTTTTAACAGGCACACTGTGAAACAATGAAAAGCAGTTGCGTGTCACCTCTACACCAATTTGCACAGTGGAGGACAGAGGGTCAAGAGCTGATTGAAAGCCCATGCTGCTCTCTCCTGAAGTCTGTTTACTGCAGAAGGCTGCTCATTTTCATTTGATATTTAAATAATGCATAAATGAGGCTGCCAGCACCATCTGTTGCAGAGGTGAAAGACGTGATATGCATTTCCTTGACACTTGTGTGCTGAGGTGGGAGACACAACTGAGTGTCTTGTGGCATGTTTGCACAAGGACAGAGACAAGAATGAAGCTCGAGTTTGGACCAAGAAACTAAGGGATAAACCCTAAAGTGATTCTAATTCAAAGCCCACAACATTCACATCACAGCAGCCTTCTAGCATGACAATTTCTGTTGGTATGAATATAATAAACCCTCAGAACACATGTCGTATAGCTAGTAGAGTAGGAGAGAAACACACTCTGTCCAGACGCGACTCGTCCATGCTCTTTGAATACTCCTTGAGTTTGTATTCCTCTCGTTCGATGCGGGAGCTCTCTATGTCAGCAGAAAGATGGGGCATGTTGGACACCCAGGCGACCGTTCGCTCAGAGGCAGGGGTCGAGGGGTTGAGGGTGGTTGGAGATTGGGAAGAGCCCTGAGGAAAAGAACACAAGATCATGTAAGTGTGGAAACTGACGTTTGGGTTGCATCTTCAATATTTACACTACAGTTTCGGCTTGGTAAGATTTTGATGTTTTTGAAAGACGTCTCTTATGCTCACCAATTCTGCATTTTGAGCATGTAAAAATAGTAATAGTTTGAAATATTATTTAAATTAAAAAAAAGTTTCCTATTCAAATATATTGTAAAATGTAATTTATTCCTGTGATGCAAAGCGAAATTTTTAGCATCATTACTGCAGTTTGCATTGTCGTATGATCCTTCAAAAATCATTCTAATATACTGATTTGCTGCTCATTTCTTATTATTATCAGTGCTGAAATCTTATTTCTGCTTAATATTTTTGTGAAAACTGTGATACATTTTTTTGTTCAGGATTCTTTGATAAATAGAAAGTCCAAACGAAAAACATTTATTTAAAATACAATATTTTGCTACATTATAAATGTTGTTACTGTCACTTTTGAATTTTGAATAAAAAATGAATTCATTAAGTATTAAAAGCAATAACTAAGTATGCTGGTTAGTTTTATGTTACTACTAATTAAAGTTTTGTGCTTTCATCTCTGTTTAACAGTTTTTACCATGTTTAAATCCCTAGTCCCTGTGTAGCATTTTATATTATTTTATTTATTTTACATACTTTTTTTAGTCCCTGTGTAGCATTTATATATACACAGTATGTATATGTATATGTATATATATATATATATATATATATATATATTATATATATATACTGTATATATATGCATAATCACACACTATGTCTTTATTATTATGTGAACAAGATTTTTCCTTTGGTGGGTGATTAATATAGCCTTTTTTAAGAATATGCAAAAATATTATAACAAGATATTGTTAATTAAATGGCTTTAATAAACTTAAAATATTATTAAAATGCAAAGAATAAATGTGAAAAACTCCCTGTGTGGTATTTTATATATAGCTAAATACATGTAACTGTTTTCTATTAATTTCTATTATTTTACTATTGAATATTTAAAAAAAGTGTTCAAGATGCTGCCACTTTAATAAGATCCTCATTGTTTTTGTGTGTGATAAATATTATAAAAAATATATTAACTATATATGTAAATATATTGTTTTTTTAATAAATAATTCGTTAAATTATTTCCCATTTAATGGCTTTAATAAACTTTTAAGGTCTCCACTTTTTCCCAAGACTTTCCTTCACAAGACTTTCCCTTTTTAAAATAATTTTATAGAGATCACACACAAAAGAAATACCTATCTGAAGGAAGCTAGACAAAAGCACATGTTTGATAGCAGGGAGAGTGAAGAATGGTTTCTGATTGGAACACCTGTTTGCTCATGGTAGGCTTGAGCAGATGCTGTTGCTGGATCTGCTGTCGTTCCTGATGTGATTTGGATTGCTGTGTGGACTGCGGCGTTCCGCCCTGAGAGCCCTGCGATCCCTGGCTCTCTCTGGTGGAGCTCTGCTGATGCGGCAGGCCAGGCGGGGTGCTGTCTTTGACAGACAGCTGCTGCCGAGGGCCCTGCTGCCGGCCCCCGAAGCCGGACTCTGGGGACTGGAGCAGGTTTCCGCTCTGCGGCCTGGTCTTGCCCGCAGGAGCGGCAGCGGCGGCAGAACTCACGGAAAGCTGATGCGAGGGTTGCGATTTCATGCGCGGCGTGGGAGGAGCCATGGAGCTTTGACGGACAGGCTGAACGGTGGAAGGAGGCGTGGCGAGTGATGAATGAGATGTGCCGGTCTGTGATGCCATGCCTGCCATCTGCTGCTGCTCCTGGTCATGAGACACATGCTTAAATAACAACCACCGCTTATTTCGAAATCCCTTTTCCCAGATATTCAGTACAGAATGTACTAAATCCATTAAGTACAATAAGAATAAAACACAATAGAATGCTGCAGGAGTGAATCAACCAAAGTTCCCACAGGATATGTCCATGCTTTTTTATTATATAAACTCTGTGACCAACAAAAGTTTACGAATCACTACTGTCACCTGAGTTTTGGTTGGCTTAAAAGATAATTAACATTCAGAAATATGATAAATTTCACATCAAATTAGAACAAAACTTGAACTGAATTGAGCTGGATAATAATATCTTCTGTAAATCTGCCGTGAAATTGTTTCATAATTGATGAACTTTGCACGAAATGAACTGAATCAACATTGAACTAAATTAAGCTGAAAAATGACACTGTTATCTTCTGCCATGCTGCAGAATATATCTTATATCTGAATCATATTTGTTTTGTAATTGGAACTGGTTGTTAGTGAATTGAATCAACATGAAGTGACTTGCTTTACTATTGCTTTCTGAGGAGCTGTTTTATAGCTGAATTCAATTCATATTTTATATAATGTTATATAAATAAATAAATATGACTAGACATTGCGTTTTTCAAGATATTATAAAGCTTAAAAAATCATGAGCCAGCTATTATGGTTGTATTTTATATCATAGAATAAA